ATAAGGTGAAAATACATCGATTTTATTTCCGTGACAAGTCGTAATAATAGTGACCAAAGTCATAATAGTTGTATTAGTAACAATGTATAGTGGATAAACAGGAAAATAGAATGGACACTTAGAAACACTAAATCGATTGGTATTAAATTTGATTATTTAAATATTTGTCAGTTTTCTTCACATATCCAAGTTGCGCGTGTTGTACCTAATGTAGAGTCATAATTACATCCTTGTACACTATTATTCACATTGGAAATTTATCATATTCTACCAAGTGGTCTAATTTAATAAGTTCAGAAAGTAAACACTGTCCTTTACATTTGATATTAGACGCATTTGAACAGAGACTGTGTAATAGTAAAGTGATTATATCGCAACTGATTTTGCTTTATATGGTATTAGGTCAATCAGATAATGCCAAGTTTTCTCGTCCTTCGATCAATGAATAAAATTGTAATCGGTTACAAGACTGTACTGGAGTGAAAATGGCTATGAACACCAAATCGTATCACGAATAATAAAATAAGCGTCAGTTCCAACAGAGTTCGAAGATATAAAATCGAAATTGAGTCCATGTTGTCTTCTCTGAGCTTTAATTGATTTTCCTTGCCGAACCTTGAGTTAGTCGTTTTTTCACATGAAATACTTTCACTTAAAATTCGAATGATGAACAACTTATTACGGCTGACCGAATAGTCGTTTGTCACTTTTGATAAATTTTTATTTAAGGCACATCCAAACATTTAAAATTTAAGTACTAAATAATCTGGATTATCCGAGTAATTAATGGTAGTTCGTGAGTACATAACTCAATATTTTGGAAATGTTTAATCCTATTTGTCTTGTTTAATGACCTTGTTTGTGACGGTAAACCCAGTAATCATCTCTAAGACATTAACATCATTGGAACTTCAATATATATAGTTATCCTTCATTAATGATAACTAACTTTTGTATTATTCAATCAAAGATAAGCTAGCTATTTCGCAAATATTGAAGTCAACCTCTGATACACGAAATTTTTCGACTTTGTTTGATGGAATCACATCATTTTAAAGGCCACCATGTGATTTAAACTCGTGAAGCAATTAACCTTTGACCTTTTTTTCTTAGGTGTTCACCTAAATGCTGTAATGTATAGCGAGATACTGGCGCAGTATTATGCTTCAATTTCAAATAAAAATAGTTACCTTTTGAATGAAAAAGTTGATTGGCATTGATGAGAAAATCTTTTTTAAAAAATATATAGAACCCAATAACATAAGAGCAGACAAAGTATTTGAAAAACTAGTATCCCGAAATAGTCAGTAGTGAACTTAGTGGCATATTTGGTCAACCATCATATAAGCAAGCGTTTAAAATTAAATATTGTTAGATCAGTTAAGACGGTTAAGCGAAGTGAAGTAATTTTCGTATCATAAAAGAATTACTACATTACTGAAAAAACGTTCGTGAAATCATGATTTGAAAAACAACTCATCAATTGAATAATTTGGTGGTATAATTTTTGATGATTTAAAGATATTCGAAATTAACCTGATCAGTAATGCTCTATTTCATATGGCATATCTTATGACTGAATAGAGAAGCATCTCATTGACATAAGATAATCTTAAACACTGATATGTTTCTCGTAATGAAAAATGAAGTATTCAAACGACTAAAATGTCATAAAGCAACATACTATCACTCATATTAGTAGGAAAATTCGTCTATATCAATAGGAAAAGTGAGTTTATATGTTGAATATAATGAAATTGTTCGTTAATTTTCCTAAATATATGTCTATGGATTTATTGATGCAAACAAGTTTCAATCAACAGGATAATAATACAGCATACTCCAGAAATGAAGTTCAAAACTACTCTCAGGAAAGAGACACCATGCATAAAACCCTGCAATTATTAAGCAAACAGATCTAACTCTTTCTTCAAACATTATCATGTTTACTAGATCGCAAAAGTAAAAGTGCATATAAACCTGGAGGATTAAACATATATTCAGTTTTAAATAGAGCTCTGTTTAAGATAATAAAGGGAACTATGTGTATGAAATATATTCAGTTGTGTGCAGTCTAACATACCAATGAATGATAGCAAAATATTTACAATTTCAGTCTGAAAAGAAAACATGATATAAAAACAATATGATCTTCTATCGATAAATATATTATTTACTTAGGTCATAAAAATTCTTGAATCCTGATATTAAACCCGTCAATAGTTATCTCAAGTGTTTATTTCAGCGAAATAAAACAGAAAATGAAGACGCAATAATAGGTATAAGAATAGTTTAGACTAACCTTGATTAGGCCTAATTCATTTTGTATGCTAGGAGTCATGTCACGGCATTTTAGTTTTTCTACGAAACACTTTCTTTCTATTCCTTCATTCCCGAAGAGGAGGCTTACAATGAGTCACGAACCGTCACAAAATCTAATTTTTCTACTCATTGGCATATTACAAGTATATTATTTTTATTTCTTTCATTCTATTTGTTTGTAAACTCATGCACTGTCAAATATATATCTGATTAAACTGTTCGAAAAATTTTACGTAACTACAACACTGATTTTAGATGAACGATTTCTACTAATTGAATGATTTAAAAGACTGACAACTCGAGTGATATACACCATTTAGTGTGTTGTCTGTCGCAGTTATCCAGAGGATTCGATTTGGTCAATCACCTACTTAATAATTTCGTGGATGATGAATGAAATTTCTAGCATATTAACTAACTTAAAAGAACAATCTTCAAATATAATTCGTGAATGTCTCCAACATGTCACAATTTAAAGGATAGATGGCCCTAATTATTCATGAAATGCACACTGATATACAACATTCTTCATTAACAAAACGAGGCAGTTCCAATTCATCGTAGAAACATAATCATTATAGCCTATCACTATTATTCACAATAGTTTAGATAAGGAATGTACAATATTTCTCACTAATAATCTGCTTTTGTGGATTGAATTCGTCACAGATTGATCTTACTTGAGTTGTTAGTAAAAGTCAATGGAGCATTGAGCGACCGTTTCGTCTATGATGGTGTTCATCAACAGTGAACTCCTACGAATCATAGTAGGATCGAACATAAGTTCTTCAGCACTTTGCATTAAAACCCCTGACCGTTAGAACCACTAGAAGAGTGTTTAACGATACTATCCATTTTCAATCAATTCTCAACATGATGTGATGATCATTTCATGTCATCGGTAACAACAGTTTCACCGTCAATACGCCTGAATCGACAGTTATGAGCATTTTCAAAATTTTAGAAGTATTTTGAGATATTTAATAAATAAGCTTGCATTTAAACCAATAGACAGTATATGATAGCACACTCATGCTGTAGTTTGGTAATGCTATTCCGTCTTCAGTGCATAACTGTAAATTCCAGTAATGCATGAGTTTATTAGTGCAATAATTATCATATGTTGAAATATTCAATAAATAGGCTGGTTATTTTATTTTACTTGAAAGTGTTTTAAAGAGATGTGTTCAAGATGTGGTTTACATAAAACACATACCACAAAACCCGTATGTTCTATGTTGGATGTCTTACGGGGTCAAATATATCCACTCCTTAGACGTCCCACAGTAAAACGAAAAAGATTTCCAGTACTTCTCAGCTTTCAACGATGCCCTCATTGTGATCAATCAGTAACGAATAGAACCTAATAATTACACCAATCTCAACAGAAACCCCTTCATTCTGACTGGTTTTGATAATCGATTATGTTTTTAGTTATTTCCGAACCATCGAAATGTCGTGTTGTTTTCATTACATGGTATTACACAAAACGAATAAAATATTTTGTTGAAAAATGTAAACGGAAGTTCAAATGTTTTCAAAACTCTCATTCATACGAGTGATTTGAAATTACAGCCCGTAATAATGCAAAGGACAAGTTTCATTATTTTGTTTTATTTAATTATAAAAATATTCTCTGATCATACATAAAATCTAAGAGTTACATCCAAGTTGAACGTGATGTGATCCAATTTCTAAACTTGTATTTAAACCAGTAGACAATATGTGATAGCACACTCATGTTGTAGTTTGACAGTGCTATTCTGTCTTCAGTGCATAACTGTAAATTCCATTAATGCATGAGTTTATTAGAGCGATAATTATCTATAACTACTGTTAGTGAGAGATTATTGAAGATGATAACTTAATCAAGTGGTTCTAGCGACTCTGATTTTCTTTTAAGCTTTAACACCTATGCTTCCTCCTCATAGGACTGCACATAACACAAAGTTGAGTACTTCAATTTTAGTTGTATTAGTCTCAGTACAGCAATGGTCAACTGAAAATACCAGTTGTATTTCATCGTCGATAAAGCGTTAACAATCAAAACGAGAAAATCTAATCAGCATTAACTACTATTGTAGCGCCACGTAATTTACTCAGACTTTTGACAGATAAATGGGTCTAATCAGTTAAGTTATTCCGTCACTTATAAATTTACTGTTGTTACTTGTTCAACTGTGGCTTTAATCATTTTTCATGCTCATGCGTATGATAATATTTATTTGTCTATCCACTTTCTGTACTTCTTAAGTGGCCTACGAAAGCCGAGTCATTTCATTGTTAGTCGAGTCAGTGCACTACCAAACGCCGATTCTCCATATATTCGCTACATCTTTCATTCCTTGTCTGCCGTTCAATTTCAACATGTTTAAAATGTGAGTATCATAAATAAAACTGGTATTCAACTTTTGATATCTACAATGTATCGACGTGATTTGTCGACGGAATGTATACGAACTAAACCGCATGAATATTTCAATGGCATCATTACCGCATCAACACGATGAGGTCAACGATGCGGTTCTCACATATGAAATTTACTAAAGACAGACAGAACAAAGTCGTTTTCTAGACAGAGCACTTTATAAGCTAAAATACTCAGTAAGGGTACAAACATAGAAACATTCTTCACAAAGTATAATTCATTGCACAAAATATTAGGCGTAACATCCAATTCAATCCTTGGGCAGTTTTTCGATTATCTTTTCAAACCATGATTGCATCAATTCAGCACGTTGAGCACCCATGGCCAAGACTTCTTCGTGGTTCGCCTTCACACTGCTTTCAACATCCAGCACACTTATATTTGTAACTAGTGAAACGGCGAACACTTGAATTCCACAGTGCCGAGCAATTACAACTTCCGGAATCGTACTCATACCTGTAATACATGGTGAGATAAGCGTTAGCACATAGACTTAATGCTCTGTAAATAAATAGACGAAAATGAGAGAGTTTGACTGCTTTTCTTCGAATTAAGAGAATGTATCCCACCTAAAACACGGATCAAAGATGTGAGTTAATTACTAAGTGACGTTTGTTACATGATTATTTAATTACTTGTCGAATATTTGAACAATGATAAATTAAACATCTACAACATGTCTGAGTTGGATCGACAGTAAATGCATATAAAATTCGCCAACAGTCAACCAAGAACATGATCTCAAATATCACATGAGCATTTACCGTATTTTCTCTAAACAATACAGAAATTTGGAGTGAAGACACGCCGCCTGCAATTTATTCTCATAAAACTGAATGAGTAGCACGTTACTTCAAAGCACTCAACAAATCTAATCTGACGACGTAAGGTTTCCTCATTATTTGATCAGTTAATTGAACGATAACTGACTGCAAACAGGCACTGTCTGGATGAAAATGGTTATTAAATACCGGACTGTTCCAGAACATCGAAATATCTTACTGGTGATATACAAGGTGTCTTTTGCAATCACCTTCAGATGTTTCATCGAAAGTCAATGCATAGACAGTTCCCCGCGTTTGAACTGATGTTCGTTGAGAAAATTTGAGTAAGTATTTTACTCATGCAAGGTACTTTGATTTAGACTAAATATCTGCCTAAAGTATTCTAAATACCAATCGATCATTGTTCTGATATTTTGTGGTTCCCATAACATACATGTTTCATTTTAAATGGATTTCTGAGATTTAATATCTTGAACAAAATAAACCATAGTTAATAGTCACAATCAGACTGATACAGTTTTGAAGCTGCCCCAAAATAAATGCACTGTTAGCTACATCTCTGAAGTATGCATGGAGCTGAAACATTTCCATGTCACCTGTTATCCGTTGATCACACAGAAAATGCTTAACCGATTAAAGCTAGCGTAGAAAATGTATCCTGTAACTAAAAAACATCAACATTCTATTTTAAAAGCATGCAGTTTGAATGTCATTTAAATTCAGAAAATAAATGGTTGTTTAATTACCGACTACATCACAACCCATGTTAAGAAGCATTGTGCACTCAGCAGGTGTTTCGTAACAAGGACCACCATTCATCACGTAAACACCTTGGTGAACCGAATCCCCAAATCCGTTTTCTACAGCTACTTGCATAGCCAGTTTTCGCAGGTCACTGTTATAGGCATCCGAAAGTGCTGGGAATCGAGGACCAAATCTACGGAAACGAAATTAATTACATTGTAACATACTCCTCATGATTCGGTCCGACCAAAACATTATTTAATCCCAGTCCAGGAAGATAAATATGATCTTTTAAGATCACGAAGTCACCAAGTTTGAGACTTCTGTTGAGACCACCAGCAGCATTACTAACCATAAGAATTTTGACTCCTAATAACTTCATCACACGTATGGGAAGAGCGATCTATGGCAAAGAGATAATTGACCATCAGTAATGTATTACCTTGTCATTGGTATATCCCTCGTACATGTGAAACCGTCCTTGCATCACGACTACTTTTCGGCCGCTCAGAGTTCCAAATATCAGGTTTCCAGAGTGTCCAACAACTACAAATGTTAATTTAACGTATGCAACTACTTACCAGACGTTTGAGGGAAGTTGGGTATCTTTGTGTATGGAATTATGGTTTTATCTTTCACCCCATCAGCCAACTTCCCCAGACCACTTCCACAAATGATCCCAATTTCTGGTACGATACTTATCATTTTTTGTATATGATCCGCCACTTTCTTGACATTTTCAATGTTAGCAATTACTGACTCAGGCCTGTGATCAAAATAAGATGTATCTGTTATGTTAACATACATTTACAAGCAGCAACTTTTGTACGATGCTGAAAATAAGAGGAGAAAATTGAATAAAACACAGAATTCATATTAAAAAATATTAATTAGTTTCCAGAAGTTCAAAGCTAAATAAACGTTTGTTTGATCTATTTGATCGCTTAATTTTGCCGCAAACATATAATTTGTGTTAACTTGAGAAAGATAATGAATTTCATCAAAAACCTATCTTTTCTTCAGAATTGTCGATTTCATCACTTCCCGCCAGCCGTTTTATAAGAAAAATCGATGAAGGTTTAGAGAATTTTATTCTCGTACGTCATTTTACATACATGTATCTACTGGGTATCGCTATTTGTAATAAATTTAGTGGTAATGTTCAATTAGTACATTCAAAAGCCTAAGTTATATAATCTGATTAGGCAGTAATATAATCACAATGATGAACACAATCTTAGCTTTCATTAATTCGCGTACGTTGAGTTGTGGTACATGATACACGTCGAAGATAATCAGTTTGTTTCATTGCCATACTAAAGTTATGTATGGGATCTTTAAGGACGCCAAAAGCGCAAATCATTGTTTTGTTCATTAAATAAGTAGTCTTCAGAGATGTACGCTTGGTGTCCAGGATCATAAAATGAACAGGCTAAAAGGCCCTCAACAGCTGCAGAACTTGTCTCTAATTTTTCGGTGGATGGCTGAATGAGAAAGCTTTGAGTAAGCGAGCTTAAGTGGATTCAATATAAATGATGACCGTTGTATTTCATGTAAAATAATATTTTCGTAATGATTACTGGAGCCATGAGGACTGAAAATTTATTTTTATTAACCACTAAAATGTGAGTATTTGAACCGTAGGGCTGTCACTCCCTGGTTACAAAAAAACAACTTTTCAGAAATCGGTCAGTTTACAACACATCAAAGAAAACAAAATAAGGTGCAAATAATTTGAATCATAATGAGATATACACTACAGCTGAGCACAGTAAATGTGATGAATAAAAAGGAATGTAAAATAATGAAAATAAAAGGATAATGGCTTAGACTTAGATAAAGATGACACGTTCATAGACATAAAGAAATATCTTTAGTTTGTCCCAATTCATTTGTAGTTTCAAGAAAAATTATGACGATCGGCAAGCCAATTTTGTCATAACCTGATCAATTCACATTATACGGCTTGAAAGTTTGCAAAATATTGGATATCTAGATCGATCGAATGTTTATAATCTGCATTCTTTCGATCCGGTGTGCAAAAAGTGCATGAAACATCAGAATAGAGCACGAAACGACGAAAATAACCCAGAAAACATTTATTTCAAACTATGTTGATAGTTTTATACCTCGAAATTCTACATAATCACTAAAGATATTATCTTTGAAATTACAAAGTAGAATTCAAATACGTTTTTCGAGTTTGTTCATTTTAAAAATCGAAAACAGCATAACGATTGATACAAGGAGACAAAAGAGCCATACAGTTTGTAAAACTTAGCGGGACTCACTGGGTTAACGAGCTGACGCGAAAGCCGGTTTGGAATTCAAAATGATATAAATAGTAAACTATGACCGTTCAATATCCAATATATTTGTCAATAGCTTGTATACTTATTTATATCTGTTACAACTCGCGAAGGAGCATAAGTCGTTCAACAGCATTCTCCATCCAACACTGTCCTTCGCAGTCTTTTCGAGTTGTTTACAGATGCCGTTCATTATTTCGATGTCTGCATCCAATTTTAGGTACAGTGTGTTCGTTGATCTTAAACTCTCCCCCCCTCAGCATTCCAGGTTAGCACTTGCCTCGTGATGCAGTTAGATGATTTTCACGAGGCATGTCCTATCCACGTCCAACGTCTTTTCCAATATCATCTTCAATTGGAAACCGGTTTGTTCTCTCCAACAGTAGGCTGTGCTTGATGGTTTCCAGTCAACGGATATTGAGTACCTTGCGTAGACAATTGTTTAGAGATACTCGTACATTTTCGGTGATAGTTGTAGTTCTCCAAGTTTCAGCTCTGTACAGTCGAACTGTCTTGACGTTCGTATTGAAGATTCTGACTTCGATGTTGACTGACAGTTGTTTTGAATTCCATGTGTTCGTCAAATGTGGAAATTAGACACCTGTTTTACCAATCCTTGTCTTTACGTCTGTATCAGATCCTCAATTAGTTACCAATAACGCTGTTCAGATGCTTGAACGTATTCACCTCTTCCAGAGCTTCTTCACCAAGTGTTTGCCATGTTGTATTTGAGGACCTTCGTTTTTCCCTTATGTATGTTGAGGCCTACTGAAGCAGAGGACGCTGCTACACTGTATGTCTTGAATTTCATTTGCTCATGTATATGCGACAGGAGGGTAGGTTGTCTGCAAAGTCTAAATCCTTTGGTTGCATTCGAGCTGTTCATTGTATTCCGTGCTTCCGGTCAAATGTCGAGGTCTTCACAATCCAATCAACCATCAGAAGAGAAAGAGGGAGAGTGATCAGCCTTGTCTAACACTGATCTTAACTCGGAATGAGTCTGTCAGCGGCGCTTCATGCACCACTTTGCAATGTGGTCCATCTTATGAATTTCGTATGATGTTGACAGTTTTCTCAGGTACACCATAGTGTTGGAGAATGTTCCATGAGGTTTTCCTATCCACCCTGTCAAGTGCTTCCTCATGGTCAAGGGAGTTGATGTACCGTGACAAATTCCATTCAATTGGTCGTTCAGCGATTATCCATAGTGTCGTGTTTCGGTCTGTACACCAACGATCCTCATGGAATCTGATCTGTTGATTTTGAAGTTGGGTGTCTACTGAGTCTTTCATCCGGTTCAGCAACGATCTGTCAAGAACTTTTCATGGCATGATGTTTCCTTAATTCTCACACTTGACAAGAGATGTGCTTCTTTCAAGTATGTCAGTGGCACTTGTTCCTCCTCTCAAATCTTGCTGAATGGAATGTGGAGCATGTTTGCAGTTGCTTCTATGTCTGACTTCAGTGCACCAGGTGGTATATTTTCAGGTCCTGTTGCTTCCTCACTCTTCATTTGTTTGATGGCCATCCCGATTTCTTCGATCGTTGTTGGAGTGACATCCAGAGGAAAGTCTGTGTGTGTTGTTTCGACGTCTGATTGCCTCAGTGAGGCTGATCTATTGGTGAGTCCTTCAAAGCGTTCTACTCATCTGTCCCTGTGTTCTTAAATCTCAGTGATTAGTTTGTTTTGTTTATCCTTGATAGGTCTCTCCGGTTTACTATATTCCTCTGCTATTTTCTTCGTCATGTCAGATAGTTGTTTCATATTTCCTTCTCTTACATCTTATTCCGCTCACGTTGCCATTCTTATTCCATTGCTTCCTCTTCTATATCTTGTTAGGAATAATCTTGAGGAAGAGAGTCTCTTTGCGTAATATTTGTTCTGTGGTTCCTTCACACATTCAGTTCCGTCTTCGTGTACCTGTTGAGAGAGCTTGATTTGTCTTGAAGTGAAGGGGTGAGGTTAAAATTTGGACATCTCATTGAGGAAGTGCTGGCGTTTCTAACAAAACCAGATGCGAATCTTATGTGTCTGCGTCATGTCTTCCCATAGAATGAAGAATCGCGGTAACTTTGGCTATATGCCATTATTGATGTGGTTGGTGTCTGCCATCCCTGTAGTTATAATCTATAGGTGCCTCCTGAGGATACTCTTAGTAGAGGAATTTCGGATTGGAGTACGTCATTTGTTTATTATGATACAGAATGTCGATGGGATGACACTAAGAAGTTTAAGTCCTGATGCACTGTCTACCGTTGATTATCTCCATTACTGTTAAGTCATTTGAAAGCTCAGGTGAGTCCTTCTAGCCCATTATGGGCAGCCACCTATTCGCGTCGTCCGTGAGGATTAGTGCTACTGAGTTAAGTTGTTGTACACTTTCATCAATAAGAAATCAGATAAATGAATGAACATAAGATGGTCCTCTTGATCCACCTTGATGCAGAACACTCTGCTCTGGAAGTGATTTCGCTGCCTAGATTGAAGTCAGTCAGTGATATTCGTCATCGACAGCTTTGCTTTAGACATATATGTGGTACGATGCTAAACTTGTAGTCAAATTCGAAAAAGATTGTATAAACTGGAATCTTCCGGTTCCAGCATCTCGTCCATATGTCCCATTCTATGAAAAGATTGTACGCGTTAGACCTTCTTTTCTTGAACTTATGTTACGCATCCTTGAGGGCGCTGCTTTTGTTCAAGTATCTCCTTATTTTGTCATCGCTCGACACTATTTTGGGTAATGTGACTGGTCTTTTATCAATAATGAATTTTCCTATCTCCTTTCAGAAGATTTGTTATGTCGTAGGTTGATACCCTTCTAATGAGGTTGTTTGGATTGAAGTACTATTTAAATATTTTCAGCCATTCAGTCAGTAACAACGTAGAACTTCGTACGTACGTACATCAGTTCGAGTTGCCACGCCATATTAGCACAGAGATGCAGTTGTCGATTCAAATCTCGTAGTGGTGGAGGTAGTAAGAGTATAAGCAGTAATCGGGAAGATTAGGGTTTGGAGATGCTATTCAAGGAGTATTATCCAGTGAAATAAATTTGGAAAGAGAAAAAAGAAAGGGACATGAAGAATTCAGAAGATTAGAATTTGGGAGAACACAAAGAGTGGATGCACCTGCGCCATTGCAAACGATTTTGAGCCA